ATTTAGGTATAATTCCTTGGTAAAATATGTCATTGTTTTCTGGTTTGTTTTGTTCAAGTGAGCTTTTTTCTCTCTCTGTCCAGCAGTTTTTTCTTGAGCCTTTGATTCTTTGTGAGACTGTGAGATACATGTATATATATGTAATATTATATGTATTTTATATATATATATATTTTATCACACCTGTAGCACCTTGAACAGTTCTAAAGACAACACAAGCTCAGTACGTCGCTATTGTTTTATTAAGCAATGTCATCTCGTCCATGTAGAACAATTGCATCCTAAATTACCCTCCAACATAAAAACTGATTCATTTGGTCAGTAAACTTTGATAACTGCGAATTGTCACTAGAAAATATACAGCCCTATAGCTGAGTATACACTGTGTGGAGATGCTATACTAGATCTAGGAGCTATAGAGAAAAGATCAGACCCATGTGCTTCCCTCAAGCTTCCTATAGTCTATTACTCAAAAGAAGCCATTTTGATATATATCAAGGAAGTCAAGTACACATGCTCTGGAACCAAACTGCCTGAGCTCAAATCTTGGCTCTGTCATTTATTGGAAAACCTTGTGTGAGTCCCTTAATCTCTTTGAGTCTCTGCTCCCTAATTTGTGAAATGAGATGATGATACTTGCCTTGTATGATTACTTTGAGCTTAAATTAATTAATACATACAAAGTTCTTAGAACAGAGCCTGACACATACCAAGTACTCATAAATCAGGAAAATCCAATAGAAGCTATCAGTCGTAACTCTGTAGTAGGACTGAATATTTTTCTCTTGAATCTTGACATTAAGACCCTCGTGACCATGGAACTATAAAAGCTAAGTAAACATTTTCTCTCTGAGATAATTAAACCATTCTTTTTGTTCAAAGGGAAAAGGGAGTGTACAGTTTCCCTTTTCCTGTTCCTTCATACAATTTTGAGAAATGACTATTAAATCACTAAGAGACATCTTAAAAATGTGACTTTTGTAAAAAGCAGTCATAATCCCTAGTCCCAGGGATTCTGGAAGTCACTGACATCCAGGCTCAACCAACCCTTCTAAATAAAGAAAAATATATCAAATGTTAGTCAAGAGCTGTGCCCCAAAGTAACAATCAAATTGGACATTTTAAGGGGCATGTCATGCCATCAAGAATAAATACATAACTGAGGATTGAAGGAAGACCTTGAAGGATAGTTACTCTTGTGTTAATGCCTATGTAGCATTATCTACCACTTGTTCTTGGGCCTTCTGGAGTAAATCTACTTGAGTAAATAAGTTTTGGGGGACTCAAAAGAAGCAATTGACTTCAAGGATTACCAGGAAGTAGAATGTAAAGGAACTTGAATTTCTATTCAAAATGAATAAAGACTCGTAACACAGTATGACTTAGTCCACTGATATATTTGCTTAAGGGTGAAAGGTTTGCCCCTGGTAGTATGTAGACCATTGAGCCTGTGAAGGAGCACCCAGAAGTGCTTGGTATATCACTATGTGACAGCCAGAGCCAGAAACTCCATGAGAGAACTTAAATTGAAGTGCAGGTTGAGCATCCTAAATCCAAAAATCCAAAATCTGAAGCGTTTTTGAGGGTCAGCACATTGGAGCATTTCAGATATTTGGATCAGGGGTGCTCAAGTCGTGAGTAAAATGCAAATATTCCCAAATCTGAAAAATATCCCAAATCTGAAACACTCGTGGTCCCAAGCATTTCAAATGAGGGCCACTCAACCTGTACCATATATTGTGTGGCTTTTTCTTCCCTGTGGTCGTGGCACACCTTTACCTCTTTCACCAACCTAAGACATCTTGAAGATCCCACAAGAGAGGTAGCCATTTTGTTTACTCATTGGGGTAACCCAGAGTCCTTGGCACTCTGGGTCCACCATTCTGAGCTTGGTCAGGTAGGCAAGGGTGGGGCCCCAAGTCCTGGGGAGTGCTAGCATTATTCTTCCTCTGGGGAGATAGGGAGTTGCAGGAGACACCTGTTTCTTTAGGTCTCACAACTGTTTTAACTGTTTTAAAACCCTTCTCTTTCATAGTAGGGCCTTATCCCACTCCAGTAGATTTGCTTTTCAGGTTTTGAAATCCCTTCATGTAAAATATGGCATGGTGGTCTGATTAATGGTTATGAGACAAAAGACAGATTTTCTCCAACTTTGGTATCTCATATGTTCTTTCTCATCCCAGTTTTCTTATATAACTTCCTCATCTCTCTTTTCAGTTCTGGTATTATTTAGTGTTTCTATAGCATGTTACAGCCAGGTTCCTTGCGATCATTTTTAGTAGTTACACAATAAATCATGTGCAGAGCACAAGCTAGTACTTAGCCAAAGAATGAAATGGAAAAGCTCTGCCAAACACAGCTTCATAATTTTCCTTTAATAAAACTCTACTGTGTCATTTAGTTTGTTCTCTTTTTAAAACTTGATCTTGCATCAGCCTGTTTTAGGGCAGGGTACTACCAGGTCTACTGCATAAATGATTTGACTTACAGTTGAACTAAGAATACTATGAACTACTTCCCAGAGTTATTTTAAAAACGAATGAGAAAGGACTTTTTTGAAAAAAAATATATTTTAATATAACTATCCTGGGTTTACAAGTTTGCTCATTTCCTAAAAGCCCATAACACCTTGGAATTTCTTTGTGTTTTGTAGCACAAGTTTCTCATTCTCACATAGAAATTCTTACTTGCCTTGTTACGTAAACCCAAACACATTCCAGACTAATGCCTGGCACATAGTAGGTGCTCAATAACTGTTTGTTGACCCTTTAGCTTTCTATATTTCTTATTACTAGGACATTGTCTCCTCTTAAGCAAAATATTCAACAAATGCCAAGTAGCTGTTCTGTGGTTTTTCACAGTCATTTGCGTAGGTAGCTCTTTACCTCTCTAAAATCCAGCCATTTAGCAGTCTCATCAGTGTGGAACCCAACTAAAAATAAAGAAGAAAATAACAGATGCCTAAGTTTAGAGTTTTCTATCATCTGTTTAAAAAGACAGGGAAACGTGATACATCTGGGAAATCTTTTTGTCACAAATGTTTGATAAGGTGCAGTACTGGAATCAGACGTCACGAGGTAACTGTCAGCAAGTTGCTTAATCTCTTTGGCTTCAGTTTTCTTATCTCCTAAATGTGAGAGCACCACTCAGTGATCTCTAAGGCCCCTTCCAATTCTAAGTCTTCTGCGAGTCTGTGATTCTCAGGGTACTCCCCCCCTCTAGTCCTGTTTGCTCATGAGACAAGTATTAAAGTCCTAACAATCTGACTTTAAGCTATCCAGGAAATCTAGCTGTCCAGAAGGACCATTCCTCCAGGGTATTGGTTAGCCAAGATTTTACTGTACATTAATACATAGTTAAAAGGACTAATTTAGTGCCTAGGAAAACATTTGGGACTGGTTAAAACTATGGAAAAATCCTAATTCTTTGTAGGGAATGTTGATCTTACTATATACAATTACCATTTGTTGTTGCATGCCCCCCCCCCCGCCTTTAGGCTAGAGTTCAGTTTGGGGTGTGTTTGTGTGGATGCACATATATCAGATAGGAGCCTGGCAGTGTGAAGTTTTTCTCCTGACAGTACTAATTCCCTATTCCTAAGGGCACTGTTGATAAGTGGTATCCGGAGTAACACTTCAGAGCAGGTGACGTGCACTGCCAGGCTGCCCTGCATCCCAGAATCTTTTCCCTGCAGTGGTGTCTGCTTCCAGAAGTCTGTGTTTGCAGAACTGGCTGGTACTGATAGAGAAGAGTGCACTAATCCTCTGATATTGACTCTGAAAGAAGAGGGTGGGACAGAGAGAATGAGAAGACAGGAGCTTTAGTTAGCTGCTAGCATGTGATACCTAGCCATGATTCTTTCTAAGCCTTGATGGAAATGAGTGACAGGATGGAATCAGCTTGTCTCCACCCCAAATACTTCTACCTTTTAGAACTAGACAGATAAAACCAAGTCCCATTTCTTTGCAGAGGACAGCCAGCCCAATCTGACTTTGACACTGCTTCTACCCTTGCTGTGCTCCTTCCTCAGGAACTTCTAGTAGCCCCCTGTGTCCTGCTATATGGTGTCTCAGTTTCTGCCTAGTGTGCAAGCCTCTCTAAATTCTGGCCTCATGCACGCCTCTCTGTATCCAACCTTGTTTCCCACAATTTGCCAACCACATTCTGAGCTACCATGGTATGCCCATTATAGTGTTCATAGCTTTTGTCCATTTCGTTATCACTACTTGGGATGCTCTCCCTTCATTGGATCACTTCAATCCAAGCCCCTTTCTTCAAAATTTAACTGAAGGCCCACCTCTTCCAGCAAATGTTCCATGAACACTCCATGCTTTACTGCTCCCAAGCCTCGTTTGAAGTTACTCATATTCTGCCCTGTAGAATATGTTAATTTTGCCTTCTGTGCAGCTCTTGGCACACACAGAACAGAGGACACACTGGATACTGTTCTAAACCTTGAATAGAGGGGTTAAGGTTCAAAGGGAAGCCTTTTAGTCAATGCGTTTGAGAAGATGACGTGCCTGTGTTTCAGTTTGGCAAAGACAAACAGTGGTGACAGAGGCCATAGCAGGGCAAACATGGTGGGCAGATGAGGGTAACCCCCAATACCGTGTCTCACGGCTCACTCTGGAAAGTTATTTGTAAAACAACTTCGAAGTAATTGATCAATTTATGTGTGCAAATGAGAGACTGGGAAGGAATGGGGTGGAGGAAGAATGAGAGTTTTATAGAGTGGGAGATATATACACCTTGGTTGTTTAAGGTCATGTGATGTTCATCTCCACCTCCATCTCCTCCTTCCCAGCATACATCTTCCCTTCATCTAATCTAGATCTCATTCCTGTCTTCAGGAGGCAGGCTGAGCTTGCTACTTGTGATCCATCACAACTCACTCTTAAATTAAGCTCATGGCCAAACCTCCATTGTCAACCTGTAGACTTGCAATTTCTATGTCTATTTAAGCCCCACCACTACTGTTTTTTCTTCTTCTCACACATTAGATGAATCCGACAGCCCAGTGTACCGACGCCGTGTTGAAGATGATCTACTGCTCGCATTGCCAGGGTTTCGTGACTGTGAAGCCGTGTTACAATTACTGCTCGAACATCATGAGAGGCTGTCTGGCCATCCAAGGGGATCTCGATTCTGAGTGGAACAGTTTCATAGGTGAGCAAGCAGTTAATATATTTGTGGTGCTGGAGGTAGCTCTACTTCCAATCACAAGTAATGCCATAATTGACAGCTATGAAATTTATGTTCATTTTAGTGTTAGTTATTTTGTGTTTGCTGGACTTTGAGTGTAGTAAAAAAAAAAAAATCACTACAAGCCAATGTTCCCTTCAACTAATGGTCACATTTCTGAAGACATTAGATACAAGTGACTGCAAATGTTAATAATATGAAAGTGCCTTTTTGATATTTCCCCCTACAGATCAGTTTTGGGTATGGTCATAGGCTTGTGTGCATGTACAGCCCTTATGGAACTGCGAGAGTAGCAATTAAAATGTTATTTCTGTTACACTGCAACCAAATCTCCTACAAACTGGCAAGATACCCGTATGTTACTTGGATCAGGTAAAATCTGATTGTAGAAATTTAGGGGCTCTGTTTCTTTTTTATTTTTATTTATTTATTTATTTATTTTGAGACAGAGTCTCACTTAGTTGCCCAGGCTAGAGTGATGTGGCATTATCATAGCTCAATGCAACCTCAAACTCCTGGGCTCAAGCACTCCTCCTGCCTCAGCCTCCTGAGTAGCCGGGGCTACAGGCCAGTGGCTGGGACTGGACTACAGGCATGTACCGGCATACCCAGCTGATTTTGTTTTGTTTTGTAGAGATGAGTTCTGGCTATTGCCTAGGCTGAATCTCAAACTCCTGGCCTCAAGCAATCCTCCCATTTTGGCCTCTAGGGGTTCTGTTTCCATAGAGGATTTAGCAATAGTAGACTGCTCTGATGAAAAGGAGAGTAAGTTTACTCTGATAATTACCACCTAGGAAACCATTACTGGGACCCAGACAGCAATGTTAGTAAAGTGGCCAGTTTCTGAGAGGGTTAATTATGATTTAGAAGAAAGGACAAATTAGGGGTCATTTCAGTGTCCAGTCATCAGCCACCTTGATGCCTATTTGGTACAAATATTAATCCCCAAACAACAGTGACCAGTGTTGAGGCTCCTAATGCTGAGTATGAATGGGACCTCACATACATACTAACAGCTGACAAAAACAAACTCACATTTTTCCCATCCGCCAGTAACATTTATGTAATTGCAGAAGTTGAGTGTCTTTATAAGCACGTATTTTTCACTTATTTGTCCACATTATGGGAACATGCATGCAATTTGCTGGCTTTTTTTTTTTTTTGGTGTTGGGAGTGGAGTTGGGAAATGCTTTTTAGTCTGCATGAGACCTAATTACCATATTAACTCCGTTTGAAAGTGCATCAATAAATTGGCTCCAACAGATTCTCAAGAATACTGACACAGAGAAAAAAAAAAGATGTGAATATTAAGCACTTCAGCACAATTGTAGCCTAAATAGCTCAAAGCTAGAAGACCTGAAAAAATCTTCTACACACAGAAAAACAGAATCCCATGAAAGGGAAGGCCTAAGACCAGCAAAGACACACAGGCACAAACGGCACATCATGCCTAGAATGAAGCCATCGGAGAAAGTCTTGCTTCAAAATATTTCTCATGAAAGTGCAAGCCCATGGCATTTCCAGATCTAAAGTTGCTGTTTTTTCTTTTTTTCTCTTTCTCTTTAATCCCAACCTCATGCCCACATCCAAATGTCAAGTTTGCCACTCACTTTTGTGAAATTGAGTTTTTAAGGAGAGTTGGTAACCCCTTTTTCCCTTTCCCTTATAATGTACTATTTCTCCATGCAAGGGAGCAGAATTTGCCATACAGTATAAAAAAAAGGTATGGTGACAGTGATCAAGTTTTGCTAACTTTTCTGTAGACATATCAGGAATGAAGGGTAGAGGGGCTTGTCCCTCACACGATTCTGTTACTCTAACATGTCTGGCAGAAACTATAACTAAAGTCTTCATATCCTCATATTAAAATACAAATTCTTCTACATATTTTTCCAAGAGTTTGCAGGTCCATATCAAATCAAAACCATACTCTGGCTTGCTTAATGAATGTTTTCAATCATTTACTCTAAAACAAGGAGGGCTTAAGTTGCTGCCGTTGTTATTGTTGTGTATTTTTTTAATTACATTTGTTATCTTTGAAGAAATAAAATTAAACCCAAGTGGAAATTGATAGGATTTCTAAATCGATTTTCCCCAGTTATTTTAAATGATACTTTTTGGAGGGATGAGGCATATAATTGTATCTAAACTTCATTTTTAATGGGGCATACTATTCTTTATTTCTAATAAGCAGATATAAAAGGCCAAGAGTAATAGACATTGTTAATCTCCAGTGCTTTTTCATTAATTTTTCACAAGGGTTTAATTAATCTGCACTGTTGTTGTAGAACTCAGTCCCAATTTACATGCCTCTGCTGTAAATTCTTTTTTTTTTCCTTGTCTTTTTTTTCTTCTTCTCTCTCTTTGCAAGGAATTTTTCTTTCCCCTTTAAATGACTGCGGTTAATGAATGGTCAAGGGCTTCCCCCTCCTTCTTTAAACCAGATCTTGGGGTTAAGTCACGAAACCCGCCTTTTGTTCTTTCAGTCAAGTCGTGAGGCAGAAGATGTGGGTTTCTGATTATTTGCGGCACAATGCGAAAGGAATCACTCTCCCTAGTGAGAAAGGGGATGCTTTGTTGCTGGGGGAGGGGGGGCAACTTATTGCCAGTATCCTGAGTGCTGAAATCATGCAGTTGGACTAGACCCTTTAAGAGACTAAGAATGGGTTTTCCAAATCTGTCACCTTCTTGTCATGCCCTCCCTTTCCTCTCTTAACTGCATCTGCCTGTTGCCATGAAATGTGACCCTTCAGTAAATGTCGAAGTCTTGTCACCCTTTATCAGGATGGATCCAAATAGCGAAAGCAACTTGGAACTCGGTTTTATAAGAGGCTGGTTATATGAAGTCTTCAGTTTGAGAAATAAACCAAATACCTCCCTAACCCCCACCAGAAAAATCAGTTTCCAGAGAATCATAAATTATGCTAAGGTGCAACTTGTTCTCTGTCACATACTGTAGCTGTGTTAACACTCATTTGACTCATAGCCAACCCTATTAATGTCACATGTTGCTGCCAGTGGGAATTTAGTATGGGGATTGCTGGCAGGGACACCAGCCAGATCCTGGCAGGAGGCAGGAGCCAGTCGGATGTCCCACAAACAAGAGCCCCATGGCTCTCGTATCAACCAGAAGAAAACCAAAACACCAAACCAACCATCTTTGGATTTCTCTTAAAGCTCCTTATCAGGGTTGGCTGCTGCTATGGAAGAGCCGATTGATAGCCAGCCTTGACTTCCCCCAGGGGTGAGAGGCAGCTTTGGCTCTGGGCTGCAGGCAGAATGCTCCTCAGTCACATTCTTCAGCCATGCAACAAACAGCCATGCAACACACAACGCCATGGCACCGGCCCCAACAAAGGCCTGGCTTCTCCCTCCATTCCCAGGCCCTTGTGTATGGCCAGCCGGCTCAGAGTGTACAAAGACACCAAACAGCCAGAAGAACTGGGGTTTATGTTTCCTTTTAGTCTTTCACAAACACATTAGTGATCTGGCCTTTCCTCCCTACTAGGGGAACAAGTAGTTACAAAATGCGCTGGTTTTTTGTTGTTGTTTAAACCTCTGCATTTTGGATGTTTATTATATGTCTATTCATAATATTTTTATTTGGAGCAAGCGATTTCTTCTCAGCTTATGAAGGAATGTGCTTTCTGTATGTGGCAGCCTTGATGATTTGACAATGATGAACACATTTAAGTTGTGCTCCACTTGTTTACAAAAGTCTCCTTCTGCTAGCGCATCAAAAGCAATTTTTCTCTCCTCTACTTCATGCTGTCAGCCTCTACTTAGAGGTTAGAAGCATCACTTTATGGCACTTACCACAGTGCAATCTGAAACTTTGTTTGTTATTACTTTTAAAAATTTAAATTTCATGGAAATCTATTTGTAGTCTGTGACATTAGAATTATGTTTCAGTTTAGAGAAATGACCCCATGCATGAATGTTGTGTAGCATTTGTTCTAGGTTGAAAGTGGAAGGTTGATGACCAAATTTGGCTTCATTGATACACTGATGACTGTACTCTTTTCCACTAGAGAGCTTAGGTAGTAGTTCAGCTGGGGGTTGCAGTTGGCCTGGGTCTTCTTTGGGGGAAGAACACACAATCTTGTGGAGACTAGCTCATTACCTGAAGGCAGTAGATAATGTGGGTCTAACTTCTCCTATTGCCATTCATTAAGCACTACACTGTAAAGGGGAAAAAACAAGTTTGCAAGTCCACTGCTTCTCATTAATGAAGCATCCTTTCTATCATTTGGGGATTTAATTTCCAAGATCTTTTAATTTTGCACTATAGATATTAGGCAAAAATATTAAACCTCATAATCCCAATGAACATGTATAACAAGAAAATAAGTAGAGCATATTTTGTTGAAGGGATTCAGTGCTTACTGGAAAATGCTAGATTCCTCAAAGTCTGAAAGGGACTTGCAGGCTAATCAGTGAAGATATATATATATACTGTGAGCATGTGAATTTTATGCACTGTGTCTTGTGTTGTCTTCACTTGAAAAAAAAGGAGATACATGCTTTGTTTAGAATAAATTGAGGCCTTTATATTTGAAATGGGAAGTTTATCTTAATACAAAAATTGCAGCATTCAGAGTTCCATTATGTGAAAAGTCATTAGAATTCCTAGGAATGCTTTCCTTTGCATTTTCCAAACTGTGTACTCAAGGATCTGAAGGGTTTTAATTTAAAAAAATGAAAGAATAGAATTGGTATGCCAGGATTTTAACTGATTTATGTTTTTAACTCTTGTAAATGGAACCTGAAATGCAAAGATCCTAGGGAAGTTTCTGGGAGAACTGGCATGTTAATCTGCTTCCAGCCTTGGATTTGGCATCTGGGAGCTCGCTCAGAGCCTCTCGGTGACAGCCACTGATACACGAAAGAGTGAATAATCAGTATGATGGAAGATTCCTGATGGGGCTCCTTGCTGTCGAATGCTCCTAGCATTCATCTAGCCATTTCACACTTTAGAGAGCTGCTGATCCATGGTGACTAAATACAGTTTGGTGTAATGGAAATAGATACAAAAATATGAATTAATTATGATGTGTGCTTTCTCCCCACCCCCTGCAGGAAACATGGGGTAAAATAGTAAAATGACTGATTATGCAAGGCCAAACCTAATGATTTACTTTTTATGATGTATTGTTCTTCCCCAAACCTCGTATTAGATGCTATGCTGATGATGGCAGAGAGGCTAGAGGGTCCTTTCAACATTGAATCAGTCATGGATCCCATCGATGTGAAGATTTCTGATGCTATCATGAACATGCAGGATAACAGCGTGCAAGTATCTCAGAAGGTAATGAAGGCAGGATCCTGGAAGGAGAGCTGGAGGCCCCCTCTGGCTTGCAATGTGGCTTCCCTAATATGACCTCATTTAACTCCAATGCAGGTTTTCCAGGGATGTGGACCCCCCAAGCCCCTCCTAGTCGGACGGATTTCTCGTTCCATCTCTGAAAGTGCCTTCAGTGCTCGCTTCAGACCACATCACCCTGAGGAACGCCCAACCACAGCGGCAGGCACTAGTTTGGACCGACTGGTGAGCACTTTGGCAGGAATGGCCGTGTTCAATTACAAGGAACTGAAAACATTTGCTCAAATTGAATTTTTCATTGGAAAGCTCACAAGTTTGGGTCTTTCAGGTGTAACTTTTCAAGCAAACTGTGTGTGGATATCAGTAAATCTGCCTGTCTCACTTTCTAGCTCAGAAAGTTCCTACGTAGTCAAGGAATATGATGTGATAAGTTTTGCCTCAAATCCTTCCTTTCGTTTCACCATGTATTTACTAAGCATCTACTGTGTGCCCAGCACTGTGCTAGGCACAGGGAGGCTCAGAGGAATAAGGCAGGTCCTTGTTCTCAAAAGGCCGCATTATGGAGGCAATGATGGAGAAGCAGACCTTCCAGGCTCATTAACTGTCAGATGATAGACAAGGCCTGTCCGGAAAGTATCCAGCCATTGTTAATATGTAATTTTCATATTACATGGATGGAAACTTTCTGGACAGCTCTCGTGTAGCAAATGCTAGGATGAAAGAAGAGTGAAAAAAATAGGCAAATTTCTTTCTGCACAGCAACATGCTACAAGAATGTAGGAAGAGTATTAATACAGTAGTAGGAGGGAACACAGAGTGGGAGCCCGAGGACACAAGAAGAGCAATAACAGGTACGTTTCAGAGTGGATAATATAATACAAGCTTGATTCTGACTAAAAGCCTTAGCAGGAAGAGACTGTGTCTTACATGTCTCTAGGGCACAGGACCTGGTGGGCCTCAGATAGTAGTTATAATTACGAGGTAGAATGGACAGTGGATCTAGGCAACTCCTTCAGAGCTTGCATGCCAACTGTTAATTTATTCTAGTGGTTCTGTACTTATAAATCGGATCTGTATCTTTCTCTCCCAGCTACAGTTGACAGAGAATTGCATATCACTCTGGAGATATTTAGACATGGTCAAAGGGCACATCCGAAAGTAGTTTTGTGTTGTTTTACAGAGGTCTTTGGTTTTTTTCTTAATTAGGTTACTGATGTCAAGGAGAAACTAAAACAGGCCAAGAAATTCTGGTCCTCTCTTCCGACCAACGTTTGCAATGATGACAGGATGGCTGCAGGAAATGGCAATGAGGATGACTGCTGGAATGGAAAAGGCAAAAGCAGGTTAGCTCTGCTGAATGGATTTGCAGTCTCTCCCTTCCTTGATGCCCGAGTGACCTTCAGAGACAGTTGTCTCAGTCCTAAGAGGAGGCATTGGGAAGCAGTTCACACACAGTAGGGAGCAACAAGATGGAAGGCCTCTAGATGTTCTTAGGAATGGGCTTTGCAGTAGAAATGTTGAAGGTCCCCAGCTACTTGCAAAGAATGCTGGGTCAAAAGATTGACAGTAGCTATGTTCTAGTATTGCGGCTGTTCCAATAGTGTCATTGTTTTAAAAATGTTTAATGTCTGTGGCCCTTTGCTTTATGGTGTGGCCTCATAAAGCACCAGTTCTTTTCTTTTTTTTTTGAGACAGAGTCTCGCTTTGTTGCCTAGGCTAGAGTGAGTGCCATGGCGTCAGCCTAGCTCACAGCAACCTCAATCTCCTGGCTCAAGCAATCCTTCTGCCTCAGCCTCCTGAGTAGCTGGGACTACAGGCATGTGCCACCATGTCCGGCTAATTTTTTTATACATATATATATTAGTTGGCCAATTAATTTCTTTCTATTTATAGTAGAGACAGGGTCTCGCTCTTGCTCAGGCTGGTTTCGAACTCCTGACCTCCAGCAATCCGCCCACCTCGGCCTCCCAGAGAGCTAGGATTACAGGCGTGAGCCACCACGCCCGGCCCAAAGCACCAGTTCTTAAAAGGTCTCATTCTCTGACCTGTTGATGTCCTTTGTCCCTCCCTTACATACTCACTAACTTGGATAAGTTACCCGTTCAGAGGGCAATTTACTTTGCTACCCCAACCTCCACAATAGGGGTAGCTTTCAAAAAGGTTACGGTCAAATTGGAGAAACAAGACGTACCCAGAAAAAGGAGAGATTAGTGTTCATTAGGAATTGAAGAACTTTCATTTAATTGTGCTCTGTGGAAATACTAGAATCTAGCAGATATATTTGATGATCTGCTCATTCTTTTTGCTTTCCTAATCATCTTACTGGGGTCATTTCTCATTTCAGGTACCTGTTTGCAGTGATAGGAAATGGATTAATCCACCAGGTCGACAACCCAGAGGTCAAGGTTGACACTAGCAAAGTGGACATACTGATCCTCCGTCAAATCATGGCCCTTCGGGTTATGACCAATAAAATGAAGAGTGCTTACAATGGGAACGACGTGGACTTCTTTGACATCAGTAAGCATTTGCACTTTTAAAGTACAAATTGTTCTTGTATGCCTCCTCACGAAAACAAGGGGAATGAAATCGGTATTCCATTTTTTTAAAAATAGGTGATGAAAATAGTGGAGAAGGAAGTGGAAGTGGGTGCGAGTATCAGCGGTGCTTCCCGAAGTTTGAGTACAACGGCACAGACCACGCCGGGAAGAGTGCCAACGACAAAGCCGACAGTGCTGCTGCCTGTCCGGGGGCACAGCCCTACCTCCTCACTGTCTTCTGCATCTTGTTCCTGGTTATGCAGAGAGAGTGGAGATAATTCTCAAACTCTGAGAAAAAGTGTTCATCATCAAAAAGTTAAAAGGCACCGGTTATCACTTTTATATCGTTCTAGTGACTTTGCTTTTTAAATGAATGGACAACAATGTACAGTTTTTACTATGTGGCCACTGGTTTAAAAAATGCTGACTTTTGTTTTTTCACTCAGTTTTGGGGGAGGAAGAGGGACTTGTATGTTAAGTTGGTTCCTGCTCCCCCAGAATCGTGTTAAATGTGGCTAACAGTGTAGGTACAGAACTGTAGTTAGTTGTGCATTTGTGATTTTATCACTCTATTGTATGTTTGTTTGTTTTTTTCTCATTTTGTTTGTGGGTTTTTTTTTTTTTTTTCAATTACGATCTCATCTTGTTTCTTACAAGAAAACCAGGGTCCTTTCTTGGCATGTAACATGTACGTATTTCTGAAATATTAAATAGCTGTACAGAAGCAGGTTTTATTTATCATGTTATCTTATTAAAAGAAAAAGCCCAACAAGTGGTAAAATTTCCATTTAGCCCTGTTATTTTCGTTGCCTTATGTGGAGAGAAGAGGTGATTTTGGTTTTTTAATTATTAAGTTAGGGCAGAATGTGAAGGCACAAGTGGGCTTCTGAGCCACTTGTCAGATTGTATTCAAGCATAAATGCAAGAAGGTTATACATACTTCATTTATAGCTGGATTGGAAGAGACTGCAGACTACCATTTTGGTTGGAGTTGAATTACATAAGCTAAGATATAGGTCCATTTCTTGAACCCACTTAAAGTCGTAATCCATTTAGAAGAAGATTCTTCATAGATACAAGGCATTCAGGATGTCCCAGTTATCACATGTTCACACTTAGATTTGGGGGTGTATTTTTTTTAAGTAAACAAGCCACTGTGTGCCAGTTTTCACATCCACACTGACCCTCTTTGAATTAATATCCCAATGGCAACAGTAAGTGACCAACAATCTCATTTGGTCTCCCTTGTTACAATGGTCCAGATTTCAAACCCAACCATATACAGGGAGCTGTCTGGGAACTAGCCAAAATTGGGGTACAGCCTGGGCTCAGGGAATAGTTGTCAACACTCTGTGCATGTGTATTTGCATTTGTTTTTGGATCCCAGTTTTTGTTTTAAGAGAGTATAAGGTGTCTTGGAGTCTTTTTCTTGCCCAGTCCCCTCTTTATCAGTAAAGCGAAGGTCTTGGCAGTGGTTCACAGCTGTGTGCTTCCCTTATCAGCCAAGGAGCCCACTTGGGGGAGAATTGTGTCCACATTTTTTTATGTGTTGTTTTTTTGGGGGGTGGGAGGGGTGGGAGTAGGTAAAGCTGAGAAGACTACATCTTAGCAGAGAGTGAACTAGTAAAGGCCACATCTGTTGTCCCAGGCCAAACACTAACAACTGCCTTGGCCCCTTGGGAACCCTTTCCTTGTGTCCTTACCAAATGATGGCTCATAAAACTATGAGAATGTAACAAATCACTTTAAAAGGAGTTCCCAAAAGTCTACAGAAAGCCTAAATAAAATTCTGCAAGTCTCTTCCTGCTTTAGACAGCCATTAAGATGCCAACCAATTCCACAGAACCTAAAACCCACAAAGAGGTTGTTTGTGTTATTGTTCAATCTTCAGTTGTAAGAGTAATTCTCTATTTTTATATTGAAACATAATTACTTGATAGCTCAGGGTCTACATTTCATTCAACTTTTTACACCAAATTCTGCAGAATGGTCAAAACGGAATATTGGGGGCTGTTGTAAACAGAGGCTTAATTTTATTAGATGTAGCCAGTTATTTATTAAAGCATGATGTTAATAAAATAGGCATATTCTGGCTGGTGTGTATAGTGTTTTTTTTTAAGCAAATCACAGAAGACATAAAATTGAAAAGGCACTCCATTTATGTATGAGGAAAAATAGATTGTAAATAGCTAAGCTGCCTTGTGAGAACTTGGAAAATGTGCTGATACTTAGTAACTACCTCAGTTGTGAGGAATTTCCTTTTTAGCTTAGACTGCCATTACTTTTACTTGGTAGAAATGAATCTGGTCTCCAAAATATGGCTCAAAGAGTTATCCCCATAGACCTTGTTAGATTGTTTTTAATTTAAAATCTTGAACTCTACCCAGCTGTTTTCTTTCAGTCAAGTTTTCTAAACCAATAACATTTTCCGAATTAAATATTCTTGAAGGTTCTTCTGGACTCTTATTTATTTGTTTTCTTTCTTTGCATTTTTTCCTGTTCCCCTTTTATTATTTAAATTGTCTCTTGCTTTTGAACTCGAACTATGAAATAAACAAATCATAGATTTTTCCATTCAGGTCTGACTGGATAACTCTTGGCTTCTAACCAGTTGGCAGGCTCATTCTCACCCCCCCCCAAAAAAAAAAAAGAATAAAGGCAAGTTGAATATTTAAAACCTTAAGAGTTTTGAGTATGAGGTAGAATAAAAGCCTTGTTAGAAGAACTGACTTTTTCAAAGTTAATAGCATGTGAAGGGGTTGCGTTTTATAAAGTCATGTATTTTTCTTTCAAACGCTTTACCTACTCTGTACCTTAAAAAATTTACAACTTTAGATTTACATTTTATTTCAGAAATAGTAATAACACCTATTTTGATTAAAAGGCACTGCAAAGAATTGACTTAAATTTTTAAACTTTAGTTACTAAGTGTTTGAAATCTAACAATTTACGTGAAGTAGAAATTGTCATTTGTGATTACAGAACCAAAATAAAAATAGATGTAGTTGGTGCTATACAAAGTTCTATTTCCCCTTTTGTATGAGCAAAATATGTCTATTTACACAGCTAAAAGGTAATAATAACAGTTATCTACTAGCAGAGGTGTGTGTGTATGTATGTGTGTTATCTCACTGTTAAGAAAATACCAAACAACAGAAAAGTACTCAGAAAATTCTCCCAACTTAGAACTTGGTGGGAAAAAATATAACTCTACATTCCATGTTATACTTTACAAATTTAGTCTACTTTATAATTTCTAATTCTTCTCCTTCCTTTTTATATATGTGAAAAATTTCTGAAAGATAACATATGGTAGCAGGAATTCTAGTCCATCAGTGAGCCAAATGCCATATAATATTACTTATCTACTTTAGTTTTTAATTAGATAATATACCCCAAAACATATAAAGGTATTGAGTGAGTTTCCCTGCCATTTTCGTACCTGTTTGCCCAGTTGCCCCCACACTCCTAGTAGACTCTTACCAGTTGCTTATCTTCTTCCAAAGTTTCTTATGCATTTATAAGGAAATAGGAGTAGAGATTTTTCTTTTTCAATATGAAATGTAGCATTTTATGTATATAGTGCCCTATTTCTTTAGGTTAATTTTAAAAATACTGAGAGTAGAGGACTCCGAAGATACAGATCTATAAGTTTGTGATTCCTATTCTAAAGGCCTGGCTTTGGAGTGGTACCACATTTTGATTTTTACTGCATTTTGGCTCAGAATAATCTAGGTTGTTTTTCAAGAAACAAGCATTAAACAGAATTAGAGGAACAGTTTGGTATTATAGTGCTATAATCCCAGAGTGCTCAATTAGGATGCTGTCTGTGTTAAGGTTCATTTTTGGTAGTTTGTTTTCCTGTCATCACCAGTGAAGAAGACCAAAGCAATTGGGAAGATCCTCTCAGAAAACAGCACATTAGTACCATTAAGGGTATTAGGTTACTGCATCCAATGGTCAAGGAGTCATTACAGTATGTAAATAATTATCCCAAGTTCAGTTTTCATGTAAAGTTAAATTTTTATGAGTGTTCGAAGAGACTGCCGACTTGATCATTAATCAGTAAAATCTACAGAAATGCATTTCTCAGCATGAGTGTCCACATGTGGAGTTAAGTGTACATTTCACTCTACTTTTGACATTTCTTGAATGTTAGAAATTCTGGGGGGGAAAAGCACAGGTTTGTTGGAAAGACAAGATCTTCATACATCAATCCCCAAGTAAAAGCAGATGAAAGATGACAAGTGTGGTTAAAGAGTAAAGATAAGGGTAGGTGTGTGATGACCCAAGAAGGGTTTTATGATCTTGTTCTCTGGTCTTTGGGGAAACCTTTGGCAATAACCTCCTTGCAACTCCATGTTATTCTTAATTCCCCTGTTTCTTGCATGATAGGATTAGAAAACCTGTGTGTGTGTGTGTATACCTGTACACACAGATTTATTGATTTATTGTGTATTTTCAAACAATCCTAGGTAGACCTTACCCTGTCACTTATGGGCTGTCAGTATTGTGTGCTTGGGGAATGCAGACTAATTTTAATAATAGCCAAAGGGAAACATAACTAGGAAGGTAAGTCTCCTGCCAAGAAAAAGAAAATACATATAAAATGCATTCCAGAACCCAAATAGAATTTCTTAGATTTACCACTGCCTGGGTTTGCTTTTCTGCATCACCATAGATAACCTAAAGCTGACTATAACCTGCTGTTTGTGGTGACTCACTGCACAGGACATTTTGATGCCAGGTTGGCCACAAAGAAGTAATCACTGCCAGTGGGTGATTTTCTGAGCAGATGCGTTATGTTCCCGACCCTCTTTCACTGCATTTGTCTCTAAAGTCTTTACTGCCCCCGATCTCACCTCTCTTTTAAAATGTAATGAAAAATGGCTTTCACACCACTACTTCAATTTTGAATACCTTTCAACAAATTCTGGCAGCAGCCACAAACAGTCATTTAGACACATTTATTGTAAAAGGAAAAAAAAGAAAATAGGCATTTGCTGTTTATATGCCTGTACCATCTTGGCTGAGAAGGGAGGCAGGAAGAACCTGTGTGCCCGGCACATAGGCTAGGCTGCGTCGATACTCTCACACAATCCTGCAGAGCAGAAGTCACTCCATTTTGCAGATGAGTCAAAGGATATGAAGAAGTTAGGTAACCTGGCTAAGGGTGACAGCCATGTAAGAAATACGAGAACCAGATTTGGAGGAGATGTCGGTCTGCCATCAGAGATGTCAAGTGCTACTTTTCCTTCAATTTCCCTTGCCCTTATTCCACATTGTCTACATCATTCCTTAGGAAGGACAAGGCTTGTCAAGCTTGCCACATGTAGAGCAGTCCTGGCCCTGAGGAAGGGTCGGGGTAATGCCTACAGGAGGCACTGGTTGACGTGGCTGACCTGAGTATGGGTGAACGAGTCAAGGACCATCTGGAGACAAATCTTGATGATGAAAAGAGTTTCTGATTTCATACAGTGGTTCCTTCCCTGTGGACTTCAAAGCGGAAAGAGCTCGAGTGATCGTATGTGGGGACTACATGGCACCAATGTGCTGGTTCTTGAATAATGGGATTAACTCAAGTGTGATCCTGTCCACCCTCTCCAGGACAGCCTCCTGAGACCCTGTGTGAAAGGGTTTTGGGGGTGCCCCAGCAGCTGCAGTGCTGGGAAGGCTCAACTGGCTAAACACTCAAGCAAATCCAATCTAAGAAAAATATCACAGTTTTCATAGGGAAAATCCATACCTGCTTAAGCAACTGGTCTTCTCAAAGTGTCCTCAACAAAGTTCCATCTTAAAATCACCTGGGTCGGAGATCAGACACAACAGGGATAAACAGGCACGGCTAAGATGGGGAGTGTAACAAGACATTTTTCCTGTTGGACTGGTCTTAGAGCACATTAGAAAACACAACATCTAAAAGTCTGTGCTTTAGGAAGAAGAGATTTTTGACTTGCCATTTCCTACACAGGAATGAATCCCAGAACTTTTCTTGGTTGTTTCCTGAACACATATCCTAGCATGCCTATCCGGCAAAATGGGAAAGGTCTTGATCTAGGAGTACTCTGGGGAATCGGATGTTGGACCTCCACCTTGACACAAGATATAGGGAGGACAGCAAGGTCAGCAGGGACCGGCGGCTCCGTGTCCAAGGGAAAGACAAGCGATGCCTTCTACAGAGAGACGGAGAGGCAATGTCATAGTCACACAAACCTATAGAATCGGGAGGGCTGTGGGGAGGGTGAACTCCTAAAACTAAAGGCAGACTACCCCCTTAGAATGAGTAAATGATTCATTTTGAAAAGAGAATTTCTGCGTTAATCAATGAGCGGTGCAGTGGAGGCTGATGGTGGTCAGCGCATGGTGAATAAATTCACTGGACCCAAAAGGTGATTCAGGGTGGAAAGGGGGAGGAAGGTGTCATCTGAGCTGGCTGTCAGATTGATAGTAGCTATTATTCAACCTGTCCCTTAGGGCATCAGCCTGCACATAAGTCAGGGCTGGATAAACCCCTATGTGCCCCACATTGTGAAGTTTGTCTACTAGGTTCCTTTTGAGAAATTGTATTAATAATTTATGTCCAATCAAAGAATTTGAAGGTCCTTGTCATAGTGAAACAGACTCCAAAGAAGTGCCTAAAGAGAGGCCAGCCCTTGGTGTTTGGGCCTCCAAAACCACATAAAATGTGAGGCACTAATATGATTTATGGCAGGTCTGACCCTGCTCTCTGCATAGGAGGGCAAGAGAAAAACTCTATGCAAAATGACGTCTCTGCCTTCTGGAAGCCCCTAATTTTATTGGGGAGACAAGGCTCCCCAGGAAACATGTCAGTGAATGCATAAGCTCTTAGTGGAAGGGAGTGAGTGCAGTGCACACTGGATTTGTCAGGGGCATGTCCTGGGGGGAGGCAGGGCTCAAGCCAGGCTGGATGGGAGGGGAGAATTGCACTGAGCAGGGGGACAAGGAGAGAGAACTATCAGGAGAGGAGAGAGAACTAGCTCAGGAGTTCCTCGTGGGCGGGACCCATATTAGGTTTTTGTTTTTGTTTTTGTTTTTGTTTTTGTTTTTGTTTTTTGAAACAGAGTCTCACTCT